ATTAAAGTAAAACAAAAAGAAATGAAATGAAAAACAATTGAACAAATTGCAACCATTGGCCCAAACTTTTTAAAAAGTGCAAATAACCCATCAAACTTCACCTTCTTCTCAAAACTCACCTTCACCCTATCGCCGCATGCTGACCATTTTCGGGCCACCGTGGTCGTCGAATTTTTGCACCATCATCATCTTCTCATGAACACCTAACATTCCTACACAAATTTTAGCTCCAAAAAAAACAACAAAATCGAACCAGAAGGTACAGGGTGTTGAATGGCCTTCAAAGGCGGCGGCGGATGAGAGAATTTGCTGGATACTATAGGCATTGAAATGAATTATACTGGCGGCAACCTTTCCAGAAGGTGCAGGGGGTAATACCCATTGGTGGACTTGCGTTTCTTCCTCTTCCCCAACTCACCCACTCGACACAGTTTCAAACTCAGCATTACCGATTTCAAGTTCTTCTCTATTATCATCCTTCCCCAGAATTCCAAATTCAATGACAAAACAAAACAAATTTTTACTCCCTTCGAAACCCTAAGTCCTATTACAAACTTTCACCCCAGCTTTCAATCCATCGTTGTTGAACCCAAAATTGAAGCTATTGAAATCAGACTTGGGATTATCAATTAGGTTGATTGAATTGAAAGAGTTATTAACCTCACTAGGACCAACCCTTATGTCAAAATTCCGCCTCTGCTCAGTGGGGCATTTTGTCGAATGGTTGGTGTTCCAAATTGAGTCATTCAAAGAAAGACTTGCCAAATTGCTTCCTTCAAGTTGAATATCATCGCTAAATTGCCAGAAAGACGACTGATTTCCATTCTCCATTTCCTCTAACTCTGAGTACATGAATTAATTATGTATTAACTAAAACGATAATATGGGTAAGAAAGTCTTGGAGTGGGTATATAAGGTAGAAAAGCAGGAAATTTCTAGGAAGTGGGATATGAGATGGAGTGTATATAAGGCTGTTTTTTGGTCGAATTTTGGTTCGTTTTTGTTGTTTTTTAGGGCTGAAATTTATGTCGGAATGTTAAGGGTTGATGAGGAGATGGTGCTGGTGCAAAAGTCGATGGCCACGGTGGCCTGAAAATGGCCGGCAGGTTGCGATATGGTGGGGGCGAGTTTTGGGAAGAATGTGAAGTTTGGTGGGTTATTTGCACTTTTTAAAAAGTTTGGGCCAATGGTTGCAATTTGTTCAATTGTTTTTCATTTCATTTCTTTTTGTTTTACTTTAATGGAGGGTAAAATCATCAAAAAACAATGAAAAGGACGTCCAGCGCACGAAAAGTGAAAGGTAAGGGCATAAATGCCATGAAATGAAAGGTATGGACGGTTTCCAAAATCAACCCCAAATGTAGGGACGCTTTGTGCTAATTAGCCATTTCATGTTAGAATTTGTAGTAAAATTAGTTTTGAACATAGGCTGAGTCCCTATTTGTCACACATTCTTTTAAAATACATTCTTTCAAAACTCATTTTCAATCACACACATTTTTCAATAAAATAGTATTTTCCATCACATCAATAACTTTTCCTTACTTTTTAAACACATATTTCTCATCATATCACTATTTAAAATATATTCTTTTCTTAATAATATCTATCAAACACGTCATAAGCGTACGATTGATTTGTGTTTCAATTTTTGGCTCTAAGTTTTTTTTTTGTCTTGAGAGTGTTTTAAGATTATAAAAAATGTGTGTGATTTGTCATTTTGAAAAATTATTTCTCAAAACATAAAATTAGTAAATACGTTTAATTTGAAATTTTGAGAAATTGTTTTATGAAATTTAATTATTCCGTAAAAATAGAACAATTTCATTTTAATTACTATCAAGCAATATATAGAATATTTTTTTTCGCTATAAAAGTAAAATAAAAATAAATAATAATTTGAGTTCAAAATAGATGATTTAAAATAAAATTCAATAACGTGGACTGAGAATATTTTATTATTTTATTTTTATTTTTTAAAATTTTTATAATTTTTTTTTCAAATTTTTTATTCTTTAAAATGTTTAAATTTAATTGTTAGAATTTTATATTTATATTTATATTTTTAAAATTTAAAATTTTATTTGAACATTTGTGTTTATATTTGATTGTTTTTAAAATTTTAACTGAAAACATTCAAAATATCAAAAATACATTTTCAGTCTTATGCTATAAGTTTAATCTTGTTTTCTAAAATACGTTTTCAAGAATATGAAATCAAACTCATTTTCAATGTTTTATAGAACTGAAAACTAGAGATAACTTGAAAACAATAAACTAAACGCACTGTAAAAGTCTTAGAGATGAGCCTAAGTATAATGAATAACAATCATGCTACAAGTACACTAACTTTGACATTGTACCACGTGGCGATATCACATTGGGCAGTTTTTAAAAACAACACACTTTCCCGCCAAGCACAATTTGCATTTACACATGATGTCAAACTTGATGTCAAACAAACAATGTACAAGAAGCTTTATTCAATGAACAATAGGGCAATTCATTACTATCATATTTTTTTAAAAATTTATTATTAATAACAATTCCTTATTACTTAATTAGTTTATTAAACTTAAAAAATAAAAATAAAAAAGGTAAATAGGCTCACACCTATCAACTAGGCCCGTTATAGCCAATAAAAAATAGGGTTTACTAGTTTTTTCACATCTTTTCCATGCAGAACACCTCCATACAATAGACCTGCCTAATCTTGCCTTTTCCAGCATTTTTGAATACTGCCTTGAAACAACCCAATTTTGTAGACGTACCGGGCCTACATTGGCAAGACAACATTTTGGGAAATTAGGCGAGCACTTTTTCTAAGAATCTTGAACTAAAAAATTTTCCATTGTTTTCCATTATTAGGCGAGCATTTTTGAATTCTGCCTTGAAACAACCCAATTTTCTACATTTTTTTTTCAACACGTGGGTCCCATTGTGAGAAACAAAGTAAAAAAAAAAATGGCTTCTTAGATTTGCAACGGTAGGAAAATTTATTAAAATGAGCTAAAAAATTGGAAACAAACAGGCTGTTACAATGATAAATCATGACGGAAAGCTATAAGATCAATATCTAAAGTCAGCATTTGCTACTTTTATAAGGATACGAAATTTTGCACAAACCTTCTGTTATCCAAATAATGATAGTGAACTCAAAATTCGAAATGGTCACAATTAACATCAAAATTTCTGCACCTTTTGTTATCCAATAATGACAGTGAAATCCTGTTTAACTAATTGATACCAGTTATTTGGGATTTCAATTTGAAAAGAGAATAACTATATCCAAGAGACTGAAAAATGCTCTCTTGTTTTAAGATCAAGTTCATTGCATTCTTTATCCATGTTTATTTGCTATTGAAGAGACAATTAAAAATAATGTTATTTATCATTACGATATAGAACATCGATAATGTGTCAGTCAATTTGGA